TCAGTCAGTAAGAAAATCAATTTAATTAATCAGTCCATATTATTCTAGATTAAATTTTGCTTCTCTTTTTTTTTTTTTTTACATTTAAACAAAATGAACACATCAGTTCACATATTCACATATTATTCTAGATTAAATTTTGCTTCTCTTTTTTTTTTTTTTTACATTTAAACAAAATCAACACATCAGTTCATGACTTGATGCTTAAATGTAAGCAGCATTATATATATGTATATGTGTGTGAGAGCTAAAAATAGCTATAAAAATCTCATTATTATAGCTTACACGCTATTTATAATTATACCAATTATACCCCCCAAAAAAATATGCAGAACAGAATCTACAATGTCGTATAAAAGAATGATAATGAGACATTTTTAGGGATTTTTCCTCAGTATTGATCCTAAAACGACTGCAGACACATGAGACGTGTGCAGAAATCTCATACCTCTGGATAGCAGTCCTTCACCAAGACTTGTAACATCGCTGTTTTACCGCATTGGACGTCCCCAACCAGCACCAGCTTACACCTCCCTACAAACGGCTGTGTGAGTCTTCGCTCCTTCATGTTGGAATAAAACAGGGAGACCTTCAAAGGAAGCCCGAGTGCAAATGCGGGAAAGTTTGGTAAATCCTCTCGGACGCCGGGCACCGTACGCGCTGTCCTCCTGCAGTGAGTGAGTGAGACTGAGTAGCAGTCAGTGAAGGAGTCACTGCGGAACTTTATATTGTCGCGCCAACCAATGAGCGCTGCGCAGTGCGCGAGCCGCAGGAGGAGGGCCGTGCACGAGAGCTCATCTTCTAATAGGGTTGGAGGAGCAGCTTGTTCACCACGAGTATCCTTTTATTTAATAGTACAAACGAATGTTCTTCTGCTTTTATTTTGGACACTTTGTTTACTGTTCATGTGGGACAATAGAGGACACAGTAGACCAGGGATGTTAAACATAAGTCCGGAGAGCCAGAATGGGCCACCAATCAGGGTCTGATCCAAACCACTGGATGGCTTGGAAAATGTGAAAATTATAAAAAAGGAGAGCATAATTTTTCTTTAGTTTTTTTTTTTTTTGTTTTGAGTTAAAAAATTACATTCAAAAAAGTGTGAAATGCTGCCCTGCCTGGCTAGACCAAAAGAATAAAAATAATAATAGATAAGCAGAACTTGACTTAAAAAAATTAACAAGCCATGCAGTTAACAGGATTGACATAAATAATTTTATGGGCAAATATCTATGTGTAATTCGTGTAAAAGTATCTACAATGAGCATAAATAATGTCACAGTACAGTAACAGTTTTTTCTTGTCAGACTCTCAAAATGTGGGACACATTTTTTAAGAGAAAGTTTACTTTATATATCCCAAAAGCAGGCGTTAGAGCAGCCAAAACATTTAAAAAATGGCGTAAAGCAGAATAAATAGTAAAAAAAATGATAAAAGATTAAATAAAATGTATTTTAAAAAGCAAAACGGTTAAATATATATATTAAGGGGTGAAAAAGAATAAAAAGTAGTGTTTTGTTCCAAGTGGGACACCTGGTCACACTTATAAATATCATCAGATTCTTGGTAAATATATATATAGCTCTTTTCTACTCTAACTGTGCACTCAACGCACCTATCACAGCTCGCCTCATTCACCCATTAACACTAGCACTTTTTCTATGCTCATTCTATCTAACATTCACACACATTCATATGTCAATAGATGCATCGGAGAGCAACTTGGGTTTATTAAGCATGCACACTGGAGCAGACCACCTGAGCTACAGCCACCCCAAAAAGCTTATTCACAGCTCCGTTTGCCTGTTTGATTCTGAAACATTGAAGGCTTTCCCAACTGCCTCTTTAGATTCAGTGATGCTTATCAAGCTTATGTGCTCATGGCTTTTTTTTAAAAAATATTTTAAAAATGTTTTCTAAAGCCTCAAAATACTCCAAACTGTGTTTTAGTCATTTTCATGCCTCTTGAAGTCAATATCAATAATGGATTGGATTCTCACATTCACACACTGGTGGAGGCAAGCTACGGTTGTAGCTACAGCTGCCCTGGGGCAGACTGACAGAAGCGAGGCTGCCATATCGCGCCATTGGCCCCTCTGGCCAACACCAGTAGGCGGTAGGGTAAAGTGTCTTGCCCAAGGACACAACGACCAAGACAGAGAGCCCAGGGATCGAACCGGCGACCTTCCGGTTACAGATGCGCTTCCCAAGCCCCTGAGCCACGGTCACCTAATATCAAGCGTCCAACAGTGGCTTTTGGAACTTTAAATCATGATAACAAATACAGTGTATAACTCATGACATGCAGTTAAACCTCAGAATTGAAAATATTTGCATTGGAGTTCTAAATTTTCTACTATTTCTTGTTAAAGGTTGTTGGAGACTTTTCACAGAAGTATTATAAAATGTTAAAGAAGGACATTAATTTCAGTCTGATGGGAGCAGAAAGAAACAAAAAGCCTGTCTGTGTCCAAATGACCTCTAAAGTTCACTAATTATTTCAGATATTATTTATTTAATCTGTTAAAACAAAGAGTAAAAATTTCTATTTTAGAGCAGGTTTATGTGCAAAGTTACTTCTGGGCATGCAGGTGAATTTAGGTTATAGGGGCATTCAGCAGTTAATCCAGATGTTTCTGTGCCCAGCCAATCCAGTATTTCTAGAAATAAACAGATTAAAGACAGTATTATACGGTGAGCTCTGCTAAGCAGATTTCTATTACTTTTGGGCAAACCCAGGCAAGCTATTTCCCCCCTTTTCCTGATTATTGTCAAAAGTAAACAGCTCAGTGACTCATGGCTAACAGACAGAAATGAGTGGTATCTATTTTGTCACCAAATTCTCAAATTAACAGGGCAAATAAGCGTCAGCAGTGCTAAATTACGGTATCTCTTTAAGTAAACACAAAACCCTTTCAGTGACAGTAAATCCACAAGTTTAAGGGGATTTTCATTGTCTTTTGTTTTCTTCCTGGAAAACTTCATGCATCTCTGGCTATGAGTCTAATCTGGTTCACAGCTAATAAAAACAGATACTCGTTGGGAAATATTTGCCAACTCTGCCAGAAAATGTGATTCATGTAAATCAACTGTAGTGCAAATTCCTCTTCTGTCAGGCGGTTTTTGTAGGTGCATCCAGGAGTCATCAAAAGCACCTCATCTGTTATACGAGTGGTGTCAGTGATGGTTTTGTGTGCAGTGTAACAACAAAGTTAGCAATGAGCGCAAGAAAAGACCAGAGTAAATAAAGCATACACATACACAAGTTTTATTCTCCCCCTTAAACCTTGCCATACCTAAGGTCAAAGGTCATTTTGTCATGAAAAGGCTCAACTGAAATGGTTCAAAGTGTAGGATCACATACAAATAAAGCTACTCTGAATCTGGTGATGTATACGTAGCCTGAAAGACTCTGTTAATTGAATTCATGTGTCACAGTCATGTAAGGATGCAGTTATTTTCACACAAAACATATGAGTGACTGCATGTGTGCACGTGTTTGTGTAACATACAGTGTGCAGCATACAGGGCAAAGTGCTGCCTGCTAAATCAAACAAATGACAGTTGGTTTCATCAGTCTGGACAATAACAGATAATTCGAGAGTGTCAGCTGTGTGGCAGAGAGGAAATGGAGCATGGTGCGGTGTGCACAACATAAATGCAGAGGGCTTTTTACGAGAATAATGTAATGTGAGAAACTTTGAATGGACCAGAAGCTGCAACCTGACAGAGAAACCACGTAAATGTCTCCTATTGTATTGCTTCATTGAAATCTCTGTTTATACACGCCGTTACCTCACTTCCTCATGCTCCATTTCTCTCTATTAGTGTCCTAACTGTATCTTTGTGTGAAACACCCTGCATACTACAAACACTTTGGTGGACTGTTTGTTTTAAACGAGTTTGCAGGAATTTTTGAATGACTCAATCGCGAGGTCAGCCTCCTCAGATTAACATTTCCCCATTTGTGAAATCTGTGAAAAGCCAACAGTGACTGTTTGAAGTTTCTGTGAAACTCAACATTTTATGACTATGTTGTTTCTACACTACTATTCTCTCCAGAATTAGATCATTTTATTTAGACTCAAGTAAAACCTCATTAAAGAGTAGCAAAATAGGGGTGGTACTTGTTGTTTATGTACACAAACAGAAGATAAAGATGGAACCAAGTGTATGTTTATGTACAGCAAATTGTATTTACAACTGTCTATTACCTAAAGAATAAATGTATTACTACACACTGTTCGCCTACATTAAGTTTATAAAGAAAAAATGGTATCCAAGATTTTGTACATTGAATATAAACCCATGTAGTAAAAATAAACGTAACTTTCATTTTAAACTTGTTTTGGGGTGATTGTTTCTTTGTTGTAACAATCTTGAGTTGAGCATGTGGGTTGTGCCCATGAAAAACTTGCCAAATCTTCTCTGTCATTGCAAGACATCTTATTTTGCTTTAACTCGGTTAGCCTGGTTCTGCCAAAGGTTTTTCCTTCTCATCATCCCTTCCGTCACCAAGTGCTTGCTCACAGGGAGACGTCTGATTGTTGGAGTTTCTCTGTATTATTAGGGTCTTTACCTTACAATAAAAAGCGGCTTGAGGTAACTGCCTTTGGGATTTAACACTAGATGAATTGAATTGAATTGAATTGAATTGAATTGAATTGAATTGAATTGAATTGAATTGAATTGAATTGAATTGAATTGAATTGAATTTTGGTGTCATTTATTGGATTAGTTGATTAATGTCTGAAGAAACAAGACATTGGCAATTTAACAATTGATTCATTGATTGATTCATTTAACAAACAGAGGCCAGCATCTTATTCTCTGACCAACACAATCACATTGGCTGACTTGCAACAAATGCTGGTTGAAGAATGAGATGCCATCCCACAGCAGTGTGTAGCCAAGCTGTTGACCAGCATGTGGAAGGAGATGCGCCAGGCTATTGTAGGTGTGAATGGTTCGTTCCCATCCTACTGAGTGCTCTGTTTGCTAAATTAATAAATTATTACATTTCCAATATGAGTCTATGTCCAATCATCCGGGTAAGGAAATCCCCCCCAAAAAAGATTTTGGATGAAGTGTTTTCAGTGGGAGAAGTGTTTCGTCACTCATCCAAGTGACTTCTTCTGTCTTAGCTGACTGCAGGTTTCCCAAACGTTATAAATAGTACATTTGCATAATGACTGACACTAGCACCACTGACTGGCAATGGGCCATGAGGTCAGTTTTGTGGTAATTAATTTGCCAGTTGTCATGACCATTGATCAATGACCATTCCAATATGTCTTGTCTTTTTATGATAAAATCATCAAACCATGTTTGGCTTAGCAGCCTATAAAAGGCGTCAGGTTTCACCTGTTACCAGTCATTTTAGTCTGTCTCAAGCCTCCTGCCTTAATCGAGTCGGTAGAAGCCATTCTCATGTTAACACACGGTATATGTAAACATATGTATGCAGACACAAGTAGACGAGGATTAAAAGCAAGACAAGCAAACAGTGGAATCCAAAAATGAAAACAATTAGCTCTCATACCTCCTGTGGTAAGGTTACTGTGTCTTTGGACATGCATTTTTGTGTCACTGCAGACTGGTTTTAGGGTTTCTATTAGCCTGTTTCACCAGGTTTTCCTGATGAAAGGTGACAGTGGCACACTTTGGCCATCTAAAGACACAGTGACTTTTAAATCATCGC